AGTGCCAACTTTTGGGCACTTGAAGGAGTGGAGCCATTTTTTTGGGGGGGGAATAATTAGGTTTGTTTGTTTGCTTGTTTGTTTGTTTAATGGAGGTACTGGGGATTGAACCCAGGACCCTGTGCATGCTAAGCATATGTTCTACCACTGAGCTATACCCTCCACCCTGGAGTGGAGCCATTTAAAGTTGGTACAGCAATGTTTTCATGGATTCCTAGTGGGGGTCTCGGGAAGAAAGCTGACATTGCCTGTTACAGGATGTGAGTCCACTGTGCTGGGTCTGTCCCTTCATCTGCACTCAGGACACATGCAGACTGCCCTGGTGCTGCTCTAGTGCCTGCAGGAAGTCGGGGAGATACTTCCCCTTCTCACCCTCCGGAGCAGGAACTCATGGCCACCAGGCATCTAATCTCCTTATTGGCAGCTCCGTCAGCTGTGCTGCTAAGTGCTGGGTGTGCCAGGAACGTCTAGTTGCCTATGTCACTGCCTATTTGGGGCAAGTTTTAGTTTGCTTTAACCTAAAAAGATTGCAGATGCAGATATGCTGTGATAGGTGGCAGCCTTCCACGGCTGTAGTCCAATCCCATTCTTGAGACAGTGAGGCAATGAGTCCCAGCAAGTTTTGCAAAATTAATGACATGCCCAGGAAGAGCAGAAAGAAGACCAACCAGGTGGTTGGCACCTGGATTCTAGTCCCAGCACCACTGATACCCTGATGCGAACCTGACCTTGCGTGAGCGACTTAACGGACCTGAGTCCCAGGTTTTGTAAATGTGAAGTGAAGGAGCAGGTTACAGGGTTTCTAAGGTCCTTTGGTCTCGTCACTCTGTGATAACCCCACCATCATTAGCTCAGGGCTATCATACAGTTTCATTTCTTTTTCTAAAAGTATTCAACTAATCTGTTGAGTATAAATACGATTTAAAAAAAACAAAACAAAACAAACAAACAAAAAACCCCAAAAACCATTACCGGTACTTTCATCAGAAGAAACATAACAAAATTTTCTCACCCTTTGGACTTCTACTTTAACATCAACATTCGTAAGAACAAGAAATAAATAGCATCTTGAGTGTCCTTCAAATGAAACTGTACTGTATTTTTGTCTGACTTATACTTTAGAGCCACTGACATCAGTGAGCCAGACTTGCTGCAGGTGTAACATGAAAGCGGGCATCGTGGAAACTTGGGAAGCTGGCGGGGCTGGGTTTGAGTCTGCAGCCCCACTTATCAGCTCTCTGACCCTGACCAATCAAGTTTCCCTCCCTTTGCTGGCTTACTCATAATAATTTTCCTCACTACTGTCGGCAACACTGAACCCAAATTTAAACACCCACTTGGACCACTGATTTGGGGACCAGCCCAATGGGTGGTTAGTCTTCCTTAATAACCAGTTCTAGGTGATAACTTAGTCTTTTGCTGGCAGCTGAGTTCCCAGCATTTCCTTTGCACAAAGGGGGCTCAGCTTAGACCAATGCATGTCAAACTTCACTGGCCATCAGAATTATCCAGGCAGCTTCAAAGACATACAGATGCCCAGGCGGGGGATCAGATTTGATTGGTGTAAGGGTGATGCTCAGAGATCCAGACAGAAGATGGTCAGTCTCTCAGAGTGATTCTTTTGTGCAGGCTGGCTTGAGACCCATTGGCTTAGACACACCAAGATCACCTCGAGCCACATGGTGGTCTTGCAATAGGGCAGCAGGAGGAGAAATACGGCTGAGTCCACCACACACCCCACATCGTGGCCATACAGTTACCAACTAAAAACTGGCACTTGCCACCTGCCTCTTCAAGGATCGGATCAGGTTGGCACTCAGCACCTAACTCTGCTTGGATTCAATCACAAGCCGCTGCCACTGCTCACCTCCAACCCTCCGTGAGAGGAGTTCAGGACGGAGGTCAGGAGTGAGGCGCTCTGTGCTCTCGGAAAACTGGCTGAACAGGCCTTCAGACAGTTAGGTATTTTCAGGAGAAGATTTTATGACCCAAAGTCTTGCATCTCCTCACATTAGAAAAGTACGAAAATCATTGACGGTGACATCTGCTCCTCGTGACTAGCAGCAGCCTCTGCCTGAGTGTGTGCTTGACTGCATGTGCCCCCTTCGCTGAAATCCTGTATGACACTGAGTTTTCCCCCTGCCTCTTTGGAACAGTTTCTCAGAGCTTTCTGAGATGCTGTCTCCCAGGCTATAGTCCTCATTTTGCCCCAAATAAAACTTAACCCACAACTCTTACACTGTGTGATTTTATTTCAGTCAGCACTGTGAGAGCCCCTCATTGCTTTGCGAGACCCTCACCTCACCTCCAGTGTGAAAATCCAGAAGAGCCCTGCTGGAAAGTGCCAAACCAGGCAGTGCAGTTTCATTTTTACAATTCTTTAACAATAATCAAAATAGTAAGGGTACAAGACTTCATTTCAAACACGTCTTCATAAAAACATAAACACGAGCCTCAACACTTGGCTTTGTAATTACATCCCTGCGATGAACACAGCCTTCTGTGTTCCTAATATCAGGGATCAGAATCTTTTATTTTGGGGGCAGTCAGTGGTTTTGCTCCAAAGCTGTTGCTACCAGAAAACAAAACAAGACAAAACAAAACAAAAAACCTAGATTACAAGAGAAGAAGCCACTCAATAAATAAAACCACACTTTTTTTTTTTTTTGGAAAAATCAGACCCCATGTGAGAGTCTGAAGTGATTATTTTCTTCACTGAAACAATGAGTGAGAACTTTATGTACTTTCAGTTTGATGAGGCCAGCACTGGGCAGCAGACAGACAGGGGGAGGATGGAGAAAGTTGTTTAAGCATTTCCCAGATGCTTTTTGTATCACCTGCAGTGTTGTGCATTTAGCCACCCATGAACGAGCTCGCGCTCGCAGGAGGCCAAAGCGCAACAAGACTATCGTTTTCCCTTTGAATAACTGCCTGTCTCCGAGAGAGTACAGATGTAGTTGTTCACAGTTTGCAAAACCCTGGGGAAAAAAATAAAAGGATACATCTCTCTTTTTTTCACCTCTGTCTTTGAAAAAAAGATCTGCATTTGAGTCTGTGATACTATTTCACTTTTATTAATGTAATAGAAAGCTACCAATAAAGACAGGAGCGTGAAAGGAGGGTGTGTGGGAGCCCAGGTGGGAGATGCAGAGGGTCCCCATCACGGTGGTCGCAGCAGTGGCATTCAAAGAGGAGGAGTGGCTGTAGGAAGCAAGGATGGGAAAATATCTTAAGATGACCAAGCAAAACAAAGTCAGATAACTGGAAGTGTGACGCTGCCATGGGGGAATTAAAGGAGTCGGGCAGGCAGGCTAGCTTTAGGAGGACGTGACTCCATGGCTTTAGAGGTGACTTCTGTATGGTCAAGAGCCTTGTAGGATGTTTTCTTAATAGTTTATCAGTAGCTTTGTGTCTTCTCACCACTTAACTGTGAGCCCCATTGCCGGATTAGGCTTTTTTACAACAAGTTTTTAAAAATCGTTCTTTCTTTTAACAAGCGTTTATTTTACTATAATGGAAAGACCATGGGCTTAGATGTCAGAAAGCAGAATTCAGATCCTGGTTCTGAAATTAGCAAGCAAATCCCTTGACTCCTCTAAGCCTCAATTCCTCACCCATAGCATGGAAAGAAAAATCAAATGTCGTGAACTAGTATGTAGAAAATGCTTTGTGCAGTGTCTGGAATACACTCTGTAAAGTATCACATTTAAAGGATGAAATTCCAGAATCTCAGCTACTTCCAGGCAGCACTGCTATTCTGGTTGTGTTCGCAAAGTTTCCGCAAAAACAACTCTGCTTTATTTATTGCCCAAGATGTTTCCTATCCTTTGCTATTTTTTTCAACTTCTTATTTTGAATCTGGTGCTTGGACTGCTCATTTCTAGTCCTTTAAAGTCTTCCTCCTCCAGAAATTCTTCAGGGACCACCTCATTATATTGCACTTTCTCCCTTCTGTGAACTCCCAACAGTGCTGACTGTCTGAACACATTTCTCCGTGGGTCTCTGTTGATTCTGCGTCTTTTGAGAATCTGTGTCTTTTGAGATTCTGAATCTTTTGAGCAGAGGCACTGGCTGCTTTGGTTCCAGATGGTTTCTCCTAGGGTGTTTGTACACTAGCAGCCTTGGAAGAGCAAAGGGCAAGTTTGTTTATTGTTCAGTGTAACAAAGATAATGGCTATTTTCAGGGCAGAAGTCAGGCAGGCTTACTGCCTTTGTAAGACTTGAGTTCCCCACACTCAGATTCAGGTCCTTTAATGCAGCCACTGAGAATACAAGGTCACTGGGCCCTTTTTGCGTCACCCGGTGGGAATTGGGGCTTGGGGAACCGCAAAGCAGGATAATCTGGCTACTGCCGTTGCCCTTTGTCTCTGGTTCCCTGTGTGTTCTGCCAGCATCCATGACACTGCAGCAGGGTAACTTGTTAGCTTGCAAGTGTGATTCAATTTCAGACCCTTCACAGGTCTTGACAACTATTGTTAACATTGTCCTTGTTATTGTTTGGTTGTAATGGCTCCTGAATATTTTTTCTTAACAGTCTCCTCTTTCCTTTTTTTTTTTTGTCATTGGTGTGTGGAGAGATTAATTTACAGAGAAATTGGTTTGTGGGGAAATTGGTTTTTTTTTTCCTTGTGAAATGTTCTGAATCGTGGATTGAATTGATTGCGTCCTGCGATGTCATTTATCTTATTTCCCTGTACCATGTATTTCCACCCAAACTGTTTTTCATATTGGCGTTTCAGCTTCCAAGTCCACAGTCTCCAGACCTCTCTTGAAACTTTTGACTCCTGCTTATGTGTGTTTCTGGGTTACTACATTGAAGATTTGTATAGGCAGGTTTTTTTTTCAACTTGCCTTAAAAAAAAACCCTCTCACCTTTCCTAGTGAACATCGTGACTAGAGTTACATCATTTGCTGAATAAAAGCTCAAGGTGAAAATAAAGAATGAATTCTAGCTGATAATGACCACCCTTTTTCTCCTCTCCACCAGAGGGCGCATTCCACATTCAAGAGCATCCCAAATCTGGGCTCTTGTCTGCTTTTTTTTTTAAACAATTAATTAGTCAATTTTTCTTTTTTCAGTTTTATTATGTAGAACTATTACAGTTTGACTGCACATATACATTACATTGCATGTAAATACATACGAAATTGTCCTTTGTGAAGAAGCAGAACCTGTCAGGAAGGCAGGAGTGCACTGCCTCCCTCTCCCCTCCTTTAGGGATGGCTTTGGTCTCCGAGTCCTCAGCTTTGCTAGTGCAGAGCGAGTGGCTGTCCGCTGCTTCTCACTTTTCATGTTAAAACGTTTTGTAGGCAGACTCTCTTGGGAGATTTAAGTGGGCCCTACATGAAGTTGCTTCAGATGTCCCAGGTGTTACGTGATAGAATTTTGAGGGCGAGGCGTCTGCAGAATTATCTCTACGGCCACTGCTCTAGTCTTGGCTCTGTACAAACACACGGAAGGTGTTAGTAAGTATGTTTCAACCTGTGTAGTGAACGGGGATCTAAAGAAGAGGATTCAGATACCCCTTTTCTGCACTCCGGCTGTCACCGCCTTTGCCTCTGAGAATCTGCGCAGGTGCAGCACCACCTCCTCTCTTCACACCTTAAAGCTCACTCTGGGGACAGCCCACACGCAGCCCCGAGAGCTGGACGATCAGTGCACGCGAAGCCCAGGTTTCTCTTTCCCTGCACACAAAGGAAATCAGCAAGAATTTGCGATGGAAACAGCTATGGCCAATGGCCGAGAAGCTGGCTGTGTTAACCCCTCAAAAATCAATGAAGAGGCTGCTTTTGCCTTTACGGAAGTCAAGGGGGGCTCTGTGACCCGAAATTAGCACCTCTTCCTTTATCTACCCCTGACCAGAACCTCGGTAGCAGCCTTGGGGCAAGAATTTCTATAGGTGGCCAATTAAAGGGCACGAGGAAAATTTGTCACTTCCCCACTCGTGCCTCTATTCTGTCGCCTCTCAGTCCATCCTGGGAGTCAGATAGATGGATGACACATTTTCCAAAACTCATCCAAACCCGTCGACTTCCAGCCTCTACGTTCTGTAACTTTGACCTCCGACGCCAGGGCCCATGCTGACCGCTAGATTGCGCTGTCGGACAAGAAATCTGAAGCTTGGGACCCGCCGGGAACCCAGGAGTCGGAGGGAGACGAGGTTCCCACCAGTAGATGGGGAGAGTGAGATGAGGGAGATTCCGGGATGCAGCCTGAGGAATAAAAACCACAGAAAAATCCAAACTAAATAGATCTAACCAGCTCTGCCTCAGTCGATAAATATCAATTTGTTGCAAATATTAACGGGTTCCACGGGGTATTAAGAACTACTGAAGGGCACAGGTTGGAAGAGGGTTTACACATTTTTCACTCATTTGTCCACTTAACGATACTGGGAGACCAGCGGAAAAGCCCCCGGTGGCCAGTGTAGACTGCATGCTGAGAGGCCCCCCGAAGTGCACCTCTGGATGCGTTTGAGTTGAACTCCTGTCCCTTGGGAAAGCTTGTGCTTGGATTACTTTGTGGATATGTGTCTGTGTACCTCCCGCCCCGGGTGTCCGCTCCCTTCTCTCATCCTGTTCTGGAAGTTTTGCGTAGGAATCATTTTTTTTTTTTTTCTGAGGGAGAGAGGGCTGTAGAGGCTGGTCGTTTAGTTACCTACACTTCTTTTGCAGCAACTATTTTCAAACGCATTAAATTTAAGTATGTGAACAAGATTGCTCTGAGCAAAAGAGGAAGGCCACGCGAGCCTCTAGCTGCCGCGCGGGGTTGGAGAGCGGCCCAATGCGTGTCCTCTTGGGGCAGACGTCTCTTCCACCCAGTCTGCGGCCTCCAGCCCCCGGAAGCGGACGCCTGCCACTGCCCTCGACTCCCCGGAGCGTGACCGGACTGCTCGACTCCCCGGAGGATAGATGCATTTGCAGCTCAAGGTCAAAATAAGGAGAGAACTTTATTTAAACTAAGAATATCGAGATCCAGAGTTACCTTATATCCTAGACAACAACATTGCCATCACAAGTGTTTTTTATTAATGCATAAAGAAAAAGCGCGCGCGCGCGCACACACACACACACACACACACACACACTCTCCACCTGGACAAAATGCAAACCCCAGCCAGCCTGGGCTGGTGTGCAAGGCAGCCGTTTTCCTTTTCTAGACACGGGGTGTGGGCTTCCCAGGGGCGTCCCTGGCCGGTCCAGGCCGCGGCGCAGCACTCCCGGGTAACCTGACGAATGTGCCAGGATTTCTCCACTCCCGAGCTGTCCCGGAGGTTGCTACCCGCCCACGTGCATCCATGAAGGGGGCGTGGAGTGAGAGTGCGGGTGAGGGGCTGGCTGGGCTGCGGAGGCTGGCTCTCCACAGGCTGGGGATGGGGCTCACTGGTACCCCAGTGATCGCCGCGGGCTGCGCTGGCGGGGGCCGGGTGCACGTCAGGTTATTCACGCCCGGGGCGCTGGGGCGTTTGTGCCAGACACCGAGGTTGTGAGAGTTTGAAAGGGGAAAGGCCTGTGCACTGCGCGTGTGTGGGCTCTTTGTGTGAGCTCCCAGCTGGACTTTGAGTGGGCTGTGCGTACTCGGGGAATGTGCAGAGGTGGCGATTCCCATTTTCCTCCATTCTGTCTTCAGTGTTCCCCCTGGCTTCCTCCGGCTTTCGCTGGAGCAGCCTGTGCGTGGGGCTGCGTGCAGGGGACCGCCCTGCGAGTTCTTGTCATTCTAAAGACAAGTTCGGAGACTATCATGCCTGGTGGAGAGAAGGCCAAATCAGCAGATGTAAGATCAAACAGGGAAGAGACTTGGCCACAAGACCTGCTCTACTGTTGCGGGCAGTTAATTCCAGGGACGCCGCTCCAGCGTTCCTCTCCGAACGCCCCGTCCTCCACCCCCGTAGTTTAAGCTTGCAGGAGTAAACCCTGGGATTCAAGAGGCCAAAAGGCGCAGGGCTTGTGCTGAGCGCGCAGACCTATGTAATCTGAACCTTTCCTGAAGCGTTTTTCTGATGCCACAGTATGAGAGCCCCTCGCTTCCTCCCTTGCGTCTAGTACGATTTGGAAACCCCTCAGTGCCAGGGTCCCCGCTCAGGGCCAAGGGGGTGGGGCAGAGCAAGGAGGGGGCGGCAAAACGAGGAGAAGATGCTGGCAGAATATCAGCCCCACATTTGGCCTCCGGCTTCCAGCAGTGGGGGCCGTGGGGGATCTTACTCCCCTTTGTCGCCTTTACCCTGGGGACTTTAAGGGCAGAGTTTTCAGTCTGAAGCTTCGGGACCAGGTTTTGCTCTGGCCCAAGTAAGAAATTTCTACGGTGGATGGAACTTGTTCCTGAGCGGCATCCAGTTCTGAGGATCCCTAGGTTTCATAGCGTTCCTTGCCCTCTCTCTTGGCTTAAATTAAGTTCCGTTCCGAAGCACCAGGGGAGAGAGACAGGACTGGGAAAGACATCCCATCGCTGAGCCCCGCGCAGGCGTCTGTCCGGGTTTCCAATAGCCCAAGATTGAAAAAGACAGAAGGCGCGCCGCGTGCACAGACAGTTAGTTAATGGAAACCCTGTAAATCGGTTTTAAGTGCACCCAGGACGGAGGGGGAGAAAGGTGTAGGTGGTGATGATGAGAGATGGGGCTAGGATGGGGTGGGGTCCGTCACACTGTTGCACTTTTTAAAATGAGAGTTGCTTACTTCCCTCCCATTGTTCTTAATTTAGAAAATAAATTTATTAAAGAAAATCGCACGTATAGGGAAACCCGAGCTCCCCAGCCCGCCCCAAGCGGAGGAGTCAGCGGCTTCCCTTGGCAGTGAACCCGGCTGCGGCTGTCCCCCTCCCCGCTTCCTCCTCCCTCCTCCCTGCCCCCCTCCCCTCTCCCCGGCGGGGCACTGCTACTACGGCGATCGCCACCTCACGCAGAAGGAATGCTCGAAGTATGCACACGTTCCCAAAAGTAGACCTCCTTCACCGCCGGAGGAGCATACATCACCCTGTGGCAGCCGTCCACCTTCTCAGGCGTTTCGTAACGGAGTAAACTGAGAGCTGGGAACAGCCCTCTATTAAGTAGCCCGCGACGCGGAGCCTCTTCTCACTCGACGAAGGCGAGCCGCCCCAGACGCGTCCGCGCGCGGGCAGCTGTAGTCCCAGCCGTCTCCGCCTCTCCTGCCGCGCCCGCCGCTCCGCTCGGGATCCTCATCCTCCGCCTTCTCCTCCCCGGTGGCCCCGCCGCTGCCCACCTCCCGGCCGCC